TCAAACTTGTACTTTGTGGATGATTAGCCCCTGAACATTATTTTGTGAAAAATTAACCCCTTAACTCTGCAGTTATGGCAAATTACCCCCTTTTTCCGTGAGATTACGTCACTTTGCATCCAAAACTAACGGATGCTTGATTAATGAAAAGCAAAGTTTCCAAAATTGAGATTTTACTTAAAATTATTTCAACTAGGTAAAATTAAAATCGTAAAATCGAATTGGTAAAATTAAGTATTTATTAAATTTAAGAAATAAATAGTAAAATTTTATCTTTCTATATTAATATAACTAAAATTTAATAATAAAAATTTAAATATAAGGTTAAAATTTATAATAACTCTAATAAAAATTAAATTTTAATATTATAATAAATGATAATATAAAAAATTAAAAATATATTTGTTAAAAAAATTATTTTTTAAATTAAAATACAATACCTTTCTCTATTCAAAAATTAAAAAAACAAAAAGAAAAAAAATATATATATTTGAAAAAAACAAAAGCAATGCTATGAACACTAACCACCTGCACTCTCCAGTCCAGCCAACACTTCCATTTTCATTGGGCCACGTTATGTTGGTCTCCGGTGAGGTCATCATTTTATGACTAAGTAAGCTTAGGTGGCCCAATAAAAAAGCATGTGTTGGTTGGAAAGTGCAGGAGGCGAGTGCCCCTAGCAGCTAGCACTGCCCAAAAAACAACACCAACCACGTGTCAACATAGTACCCATTAAAAAGAGTACCCCTCCACTGTTTCACCGTCCTTGGTTTCGCCTAATCATCTTCCTTCTTTTTCTACCAGTTTTCTCCATTCAAGCTCGCTTTCTGATCCTTAGCTACTACTTTTGTGGCAACAAATTTTATCCTTCTTTGCTTGAGCAGTGAGCAGCAGCAACCAAATCCTACTCTGTGAGGAGCATCGCAGAGCTAGATTATGGAACAGGTATACTTTCAATATTTTAGACTGGTTCATGTTATATTTTCAAGAAAAATTGTCAAATTTTGGCTTAAGTGAGGGATGCTTGTGGACATAGATAAAAGATATTAACATTCGGTGAATACTGAAACATAAAAATTGAAAACCAAAAATTTCGGTACTCGAAACCCAAAAAAAGGGGTAATACTGGAATTGGCTTTAATCTTGAAAATCACTACAGAAAAATTTCAGTTACTGAAATATTGGTTTCGGTGGACACCGAAACTGATATTTGCCCACCCCTAGTTCTGCATAATAAGAAAGCAATGTAATTTCTAAATTTATTAAAATACTCTTAATCAACCTCTTTTTTATATTACTTTATTATTAATATTTTAATATTTTTAGTATCTAAATTATATTTTTATTGTATAATTTAATTTAAAAAATATTAAACTCTTTACCTATCTAAACTCTAAAGTGATTCTTTCCATCTTGAAGGACTTTATTTTGAAAAAGAAAGAAGACATCAAAATTTGAGATTATTTAAGTGTAGGAGAAAGTTGGTTATGTTAGTGAAGAATTGAATTCCTTTTAATTCACAAAAAATACCATGGAAATTAATGAAAGTAATATATATAGTTTATTTTTTTGGTTTGGATGGTCATGAAATTTTTTATTCAATTTGAGCGCATTTTAAAATTGATCTTAATCTAAGTAATTTTAAAGGTATATCCACTAAATATATTTGATGTATTTAAAAAAAAAATACTTTCTCAGTTTCAATTTACTAGTTTTACTTTGATTTTTAAAAATTTTTAAATATGAATTTCAAAT